ACTAGGTCCACAGATTCAAATGCTAACCTCACCAGAAGCACCCTCAAGGCACCCAGGAATAACTTCTTCTGGGACTCTTGATACAGTCAACACACGAAGTCAACCATCACAGCTACCCCTTGGAATCCACATATATTTCTTTAAACCACTTAATCTTGAAATAAAGACAATGTCAAATGTCATCTTCCACCTAACAGGGTTCCACTCTCCTGTGTGCTAACTCCTTCCCCAAAGACATTATCCTTGTGCAGGATGTTTAGTTTCCTCAGTACTATGGTGTAACAGTACCATGGTGTGAGTCAGCATGTCTCCTATTACATGATAAAGGAATCAGAGAGAAAAGAAAAACACACATATACACACACATTCATAGCAAAAAAGGGAAGAAATGCTCATGACAGTTACAATCGCCATTTCTGTTCCTTATCACATGTTTGTAGCTGGTGTTTATAACCGCTTTCTTCCATGACAAGCTCTATAATTCTCTTTGCTCTCCCCAAGCACCTCATTTGGCTGTGGTTTTTAAGTAGAATGACAAAAGCTTCATTTCTAAAGGTCTTGGCCATTAATAGTTCTGCCTCGAGTCAGTTTTTCTGTTGATGTTGATTACAGCATAATAGTAAGAAACACCCCAAAGAGCCTCCTGTGTTTAGGCATGATCTTCTTTACCTCTGAGGTGCAGATAGAGGCCAGTGTCTTGCTTGTAGCCTAGATCAGTCACTGTGACAACACCAGATTCAAATTCCTTTCTTTGCCTGTTGATTCAAGGTGGGAGTCCAAGGTGGCTCATAATATCACACCTTCCATTCCGTGAACCATTATTGTTTCTCGGATGAAAGCATTTTTCTTTGTGGAAACGACTTGGTCCTTTTGGTGATCAGCTCATATTCGAGTTAGAACAACAACAACAACAAAAAACTGCTCTTATAGTCAGGAAATCACAAGGATTTTATAAGCTCTGTGTTGTAAACTGGGAGCAGAGACCAGTGTAGACTTACTACTTTATATCTGGCTATGAAGAAGAAGAAGCAGCAGCATATAGGTACATATATGTGTGCTGGTGTGATTTGAAATTCTCTGAAGGAGCCACATTTGTATTAATGATCTGCAGACTGCTTGTCTTTGGCTAACTGAAGCACTGTGATCATGGAGAGATAGGTTGTATGTGGAGAGCCAAAATTATCTTGGTCTGTTTTATGTTTTTTAACAGCCAGTTGCCTTAATATTTGTATCTGATTTAACAGTCTTGTAACTAATAGATAAACTTCTTGGAATATATCATTAAGATTAGCTGACTGCTATCCTCCAGAAACCCTACAGCTAAGAATATAGTTATGACAATCTCTGAAACCCGTGAAAGAAATTTTCCTATTCTGTTGTAGCCCACCTACCTGATGCCACCACCATTGTAATTGGTACATATATTGATTTCTGACTCTTTTTATTTGCGGCCATAAAAGTTCATGAAAGCTCTTCCACATGTCATTCAGAGTAAATGAATCTGTATTCCTAAGCTGTGGTCACTCATTTGATTTAGAATAAACTATCTTATTTCCTTTAAGACAGAGACATTCTTTTATGTTGACGTGGATTGACCAGACATCCCAATTTACCTGGACAGAAGAATTTCTTGAGATAGAAATTCTAGTGCTAACACCAGACTAATTCCAGGAAAACAAGTGGAGTTGCTTATTGAAAATTTGATTACAGAAAGTTATGGGGAGGTCAGCAATTTGAACAAAAACGATAGGAATATAGTTGCTGTTGTCCTTCTAAAAATATCCACACACTTGAGATTTTTACTTTATTCAAAAAAGGAGGTACCAGCCAGGCTTGGTGGCTCATGCCTGTAATCCCAGCACTCAGAAGATTGAGGCAGGAGGATCGTGGCGAGTTCAAGACTAGCATAATGAGACCCTGTCTCAAACAGATGAAAAAAAAAGTATCATGTATCAAATTAAAGTTTTACAGGGGTATATTAATAAGTATTTCTCCACTCTAGGCTTCTATTATTTCTCTTTCAGAAGCCAACTGTGACCAGTTTGTATGTGTGTGTGTGTTTTCTTCCAAAGATATTTTATGCACATTTAAGTATATAAGTATGCTATTTAAACACACAAAGAATAGCATACTAAACAGTATTCTTTGTTTAGCTTTGTACAACAGCAATTATAAAGAGCTGATGTATTGTTCTCAGTGATTTTATAATATTCACTTGCCTACATTTACAATAGTCACTATTGTAAGTTTAGCAAGTCGTCTACTAGTAGACTTTTAGTTTGCTTCTAATTCAGTGTCACTAATACAACACAATGCTGCAGTGAATACCGTTGAACGCCTGGGTCCCAGGCTGTGAGATTCAATGTTATGTTGTCTTTTGCAGAGGCTACAATAATTTAACCTCTTACTAACAGTGCAGACAAATGCATGGGACCACCTGTCCTGAATTCAGCCAAGGTCAAGGCTTGGCCAAACAAATTCTAAATTGTGTTTATAAATCAGATCTCCCACTTTACTTTCTAACCGGTCTCTACCAGCTACTAAGGCAAAACTATCCTCTAAGCCAGAGCCATTTCCTGCCTTTTTTTCTGCTTTTGCTGAGTCAACTCATTAGCCTTAATTGTCTTCAAAATGATTCTCAGCTGTGTCATTCTTTCCAGACCTGGAGAGTTATGGGAAATGCTGTGAAAGCCCGGGATGTGTCTTTAGGGATACAGCGAGGTCCATGCAATCAGTAGCCAGCAACTGGAGAATCAATCAGCACTTTTAATTTTTTTTTTTTTTTTGACTGAAAATAGGTTAAGTCCATGAAGGCAGTGAGGAGCAGGAGAATTTCATGCCAGAGTCATGAATGCACAGGACATCTTGGTTGAGCCACCGGATGCCAGAACCAAGTATTTGTCAGCCCTACCTCCCATCTCCAAGTATTTAGTACACATGAAGATGCAGAAGCCCAGGTCTTCTCTGTCTACTCGTATGAGACTCAGACCAGCATGTGAAAGTCCATGTGATGGTTTTCTTTGATTGTCCAGTTGATAGGCTTGAAAGATGCCTAGGAGATTGATAGGGCTCATTCCTGAGTGTGTCTGAGTGTGTCAGGGAGGCATGACTTTTCAGTCTAGGTCTGGCCCCTTGCCTCTTCTTCTCTAGCTCTTTCACTCTTTATCTGCTTCTGGGCTGCCATAAGTTCAGCAGCTTTTTCTCATCACATCCTTCTGCCAAGGTGTTTTTGCTTTGGTGCAGTTGACCATGGACTGAAACCTTTGAAACTGTGAGCCAAAGTAAATATTTCTTCCTGTGAATTATTTTCTCAACTATTTGGTCACAGCTACTGAAATTTAACTAACACATCTGCTAAGTTTTTGGAATTTTGTAAGCCAGTTGTTAAATATAGCCATTTAAAATTATATGAATTCAGTTAAATATTTTCATTAAAAGAATAAAATAACAGATATCCAAAATGCATCACTGCCTTTTTATTTTTACTATATCTTATCTGTGCTTTTTGGAGACAGAATTTTACTATGTAGTTCAGGTTGGCCTTGAACTCACTATGTAGCCCAGGCTGGCCTCGAACTTAAGGCAGGTCTCCTGCTTCAGCCTCCTAGGTGTTGGGATTACAAGTTTATCTATGCTTTTGACCTTTTTTTTTTTTTTTAAAGCACTTACTTATTGTGTCTCTATGGTGAAAGCATGATACAATTGTGTGCGTGATGCATTCTTCTCAACTCTGTGGTTGGTGATCTATGGTGGGTAACACAAACTTGACCAAGTCAGAAGAGTTTACATTGCAAAGTTGACAAATGCTACAAACTGATGCTTGATTTATTGTTTTGTTGATTGTTTAAACTTAAGAAAGTTAAGGGGAGAGTGTTAGTATTATGGATTGAACTTTAAAGTCTGTTATGACTTTCCACTGAAGTGAAAGGAGAATCAGTTGATGAATGTCATTTTCATGGGAGTGAGCTTACCAGTGGATCTTATTATAAAATTTATCGGGAGAAGAATTCAGACACATTATAACTCTATTTATCAAGTTACATTCAGTAAGCTTAACCATAGATACAAGACTAACAAAAATTAAAAGCATCCTGAGAGAATCAATAAACTATATGGGATCTCCAGGACAGACTATTCTGTACTTTAGTATTATCTATAAATTGTAAACCTATCCTTTATATTAGCAAATTTAAAATACCTCTATATATATGTATACATTTTGAATATCCTTTACCTGAAATGTTTGGAACCAGAAGTGTCTCAGATTTCAGATTTTTTTTTCAGATTGTAGAATATTTGCATATATATAATACACTATCTTGGGAAATGGAACCCAAGTCTCAACAGAAAATTCATGTATATTTCACCTGTCCACATAGCCTGAATGTAATTTTATACCCTGTCTTTAGTTTACCAGTGCTTTGACTGTGACATCAGGCATGGAATTTTCCACTTAAAACATCAGGTAGCACTCAACAAGTTTTGAGAATTTGGAATGTTTCAGATTTTGGAGTTTGGATTAGGGTTATTCAGCCTATAAATATAATCATTTTTATTTTTCCCTCAAGAGCTTGTTGCTTGGTATTTACCCTCATCTTGCTGTCTCCAGATTCAGGATTCTGTGACTATACATGGATCCTATACTGTTATCTCAAAAGGAACCCTCTGATTTTTGTCCACCCGCATTGTGAAGTGGGGTTCAAAGGTGGTACACCTGCCCCCTTTCTCAGGGAGCCCAAGGAGTGTCCACCCAAACCACAGTGTGTCAACAGGATTAGCACAGCAGTCAGGCCAGCACTGAGGAGCTGGCTGACTTGCAGCCAGGTTCTTTCTGCTGATCTTTCTTTCTGTTAAATGGCCAGAACTTTTCAGCATTTTTCTAACACAGAGTTTGGCACCCTTCTGAAATAGCAAGTCATATCTGCATTTCTTTGCTGTAAACTAATGTGTGTCACGAACACATTTTAACTCTTAAAAAGTTATCCAGGTTATGGCCAAAGTCATCACACAGGAGAATTATTTTATTAAGATGAAGGTCATCAAAACCACAAAAAAATCAAAACCAATAATCTGCAATTTAAAAATCAACACTTGTGACATGAACAGATTATTTGTTATTTTGTGCCACTGTGATCATGGTCATCGCCTGGCGTGGTTGGGTGTGCTTCTTGTGTCAGGCTCCAAGTCAGGGCTGAGGAAGAGTTTGTGAGCCAGGCGTCGGGATGCAGGTGTGGGTCTGGAATGCTTCTTTGACTCGGTGCATCATCCAGAATTCTGACTACAAGCAATAGATATATCCTTTGTTTATGTAAATATCAAGCAGATTTATTAAACAAAATTAGGTAGGTGAAGGAACCCTAACGAAGATCATACTCAGCTGAGCCTACTATAGCAAAGCATTATCAACTGCATTTTAAATAACACACATTTATTTCTCACAATTCTGAAGGCTGAGAAGTCTGAGATCAGTGTGTTGGGAGACTTAGTTCCTGGTGAGGGCTCTGTCTGGCTTGTACACAGCAGCCTTCTCCCTGTGTGACATGGCCTTTCCCTGGTGCCTGCTTGTGGAGAGAGACATCTATCTCCTTATGAGGCACTAATCCCATCACACAGGGCTGTTTTAGCCACTTTCCTTGTTACCAGACAATTCTGTTGCCTGACAGCTGCAATTTAAAGAAGATGAGGTTTATTTTGGCTCATGGTTGCAGCCCGTGGCTGGTTGGCTCTAAAGCAGAAATGGCAGGGCAGAAAGGCCTGGCACAGGAGAAGCTGCTCAGTTCAGTGTGTCTGGAAACAGAGAGAAGAGAGTAACGGGGCGGGGGGCGGGGAGGAAACCCTTGCAGGTCACGCACCCAGTGACCCAGTTCTAACCAGCACCCTAACAGCACACCCAGCTGCGGAACTCCGTAGTGGATAAATCCACGGATGAGTGTAGCTCTCCAAAAGCCCTGTCTCTGCGTGCTTGAGAATTTTGAGAGATATTCTAGATCTAAACCCTAACGGGCCCGACTCTAGCAATATGGTATAAGTATTAAAGAAAAGAAGTTTATTTTGACCATGGTTCTGGTCCAAGGTGTGGGGCAGTATCTGATGATGCCTTCCTTCTGGCAGAGTCCTGAAATAGCTCAGGGCATCCCATATTGAACGGCAGGATACAGGATATGTTTGTGTGGGTGTGCTGTGGTTTCTTTGCCTCTTCTTAGACAGCCCCCAGTATTTGATAATGAAGACTCCTGCCTGAGTCCCCCCTCTAATTGGAATTACCTTCCAAAGGCCCTACAATATCAGATTAAATTCCCACCCTCATAATGCAGATTAAATTTCAACACACATTTTGGAAAGGATGAGCCATATCCACCTCATTGGACACCCTCATACTCTAATCTAAATCTAATTACCTTCCTTCAAATATCATTACTTTGGGGTTAGGCTTTGCATATGAGTTTTGAGGGTATACAAATATGCAGCTCATAACACAAGGTTTTAATGCTAGGTCTGGAAATTGGGCATAAATAAGAAGCTACCAGAACACAACCCAAATCATATTTAAAAACTGCCTGGCAAACCTTTAGCAAGTGCTTTTGCTATCCCTGGCACTGGACACCTCTGTTGGTAGTAGCTTTGCTGCTAGCGCAGGGCTTTGGACGACTTTCAGAACTGCCAGAGGATGGCCTGAGTATGTCCTAAGGCTTGATTCAAATCCAGGTCATTAGGGTCTCAGCCTCTTGCTTGGGCCTTGCTGAAACAGAAGCTGGGACAAGACTACTTGGTTTTTCTCTAGTGGGAGAAGGCTCTGCTTTCGATCTAGAAGCACAAAGGTTGTGCTGCAAACAAAGGAAGGGGATTGAACGTCTTGGTAGCCAGAAAAAGAAAACCAGATGCTCCTGGCACTACACCATACACTGCTCTGTATGACTTTCTGGTCATCTCGGGCTTCATGCCACCACTGCTCACCAGATCTTTTATTCTCTGTGCAGGGCACATTGGTCGCTTTCTCTGCTCCCTCAGGGACAAGCTGGGAGAGACACTGGCTCTGCTGAGCTGTGCTGCTTGTGGCTACAGTTATGCTCAGGACAGCGCCCTGGGCTCCTCCACAGTGTCTGGGCCGTGATGCTTAGCTCTCTGTCTACTCAGTGCGCAGTGAAAATGTGGCCCATGTACAGTGTGGCAGCCACTAGTGGGCTGAACCCTGGCACCTGATGCTTCCTGCAGTGTCCTTGCTGCCATGACAAAGGCCTCTCAAAGTGAGGGCGATGCCACTCTTGGTGTCACAAGGGGCCCATTTCTCCTCTTGGTGTTTCAGCTTGAAAAGTGCCTATTTTTCTTATGTAACTATCGAGTAATATATATTATGTTTGATGCTGAGGGTTTCCAAACACTTCCATAATAACGAACTCATTTTATTGTCTTAGCTGCCTTCTGCAATAGTCAGAGCAGTTACTGTTCATCACAGATATTAGATATTAGCTCCAAGGTCGCATAACCCCAAGTATGCTCCTACCGCATCGGGCGCTCCCCTGGCAGCACCAGGTGGTGGGGGTCTCTCATGACAGCACCAGGGCTGCTGGTCACTCACAGCCAGAGTTCTTGGTTGTGGGTCTGCCTTCTTGGCGCTTGCAGGCTTTAGAGGTTGCTCGGCGCCTTCAAAATTCTCTTCAGTTTCGTTCCGGCTCTGGGGCTCCCCCTGCAGGTGGGCAGGAGCACTCAGAACGAGCAGAGTCCCTCCTGGCCTGTAGCCCTCTGGGCTCCTGCTCAGCTGCTGCCCTGCTGCTTAGGGACGTCTCAGTGACAAAGGAAAGGCCGCTGATGAAGTGACCACGGTCCTCTTAGAGGAGGCCAATGGGTACAATCTGTCACAACTCCCGCCTGAGGTTTGGAAAACAAACGGCTTTTGTTTCAGCCAAATGGGAATGATTCCAGCCTGATGAGATTACAGCCAGGGGATCACGAGGAATCTATTCCTCCAGAAAAGGGAAAAACAGTTGACACAGCCGCTGTCAGGCCTCCTGCTAAAGGTGGCATGGGGTCACAGGCTAGAAGGTGCCAGGTGAAATGGGAATAGAGCAAGAGGAAACTAGACCAAAAGATAGTAAGTGAGGAGCCCAGACAGGTCAGAGCAGACCGAGCATGGCGGGGCTACCCAGACAGGCCAGGTCCATCTGCACAGACACAAGGAGGGGAGAAAAGTCCAGAAGGAAATATGAATGAGGAAAGAAGACCAGTGAGAGAGAGGAGAGACTGCAGAGGGGGACTAGGAGAGATGGAATAGCAGAGGGAGATATTTAATGGATGGGGTGCTCCAAATTTAGAAACCCAGATAAGTAGTATTTTGCAGTGATACTCACTAAATACAAAATTAATACAAAACATCTATAATGAACAAAATGCTTGCATTTTAAAAGGAGACAGGATCAGAGATAGTGCCATATTGAGCCAGGGGATCACGAGGAATCTATTGGATTGAGCCATATTGGAACCTGAAGCAAAAGGAAAATCAATGCCATCGATCCTGTCTTTATTGAAGATATTGGCATTTGCTCCTCATGGATTTTCTGGGATTCATCTTTGATTTTTAAGAATACAGCATTGAGGCTGGGGATTTAGCTCAGCGGCATAAGTGCCTTCCTTGCAAGTGTGCGGTTGTGAGTTTGATCCCTGGTACCGATAAAAATGAAAAAGAAAAAAAAAAAGAATACAGCATTGCAGGACTGGGGATTTAGCTCAGCAGCATAAACACCTGCCTACAAGCCCACAAGTTGTGAGTTTGATCCCCAGTACCGATTAAAGCAAAACAAAACAACAACAACAAAAAAGAATACAGCATGGAGCTGTCACTTATCTTGCTGGCTGAGTTGTGTGGTCGGCCCTTGAGTTCTGTGGCGAGCCCCAGGCCAGCACACAATCTTTGGTGCCTGCTGGCCTGTCCCAGCCAGGGTATGGAATGGAGCACAGAGCTCTTCTCAGAACCACCTGGAACCCATGGCTGATGCGTGGTATAGGGTTTTGTCCTTATGTATGGTTTTTTTTTTTTTTTTTTTGAGCCAGGAATTGAACTCAGGACCTCGTGCTTGCCAGGCAGGCACCGAGCCACTGAGCTATACCCCCAGGCCTTTGTACTTCTTTTGGAAGATGAAGCTTTGGGTGTTTTTCCCAGGTGTGAGACCAAGTGACAGGAGGCTACTTGCATTCAGTGTGACATGGACACAGAGATCTGCGAAGGAGCTGTCTGGGTTGGGGTTTGGTCTGTGACAGCTGATGGGTGAGATGGGAGTCGTTCTGAGCAGGAGTTGCATGTGCTGGCATTCTGCATCCTAAATTTTTATTTAGCAGCATTTACTTCTACACGGTTCCCTTCATATTCTAACCGAATGAGTTTCTTTTCCACCAAGTAAACCAACAAAATTTTGACCACTTTTCTCCAATTTTTATTTTTGTTTTGCCTTTATTACCAGTAAAAGTAACCACGATGCTGGAAAAGTAGCCATGGTCTGTATTTTGACACGACAGCCTTGAACAGTTTGAGAACATTCTGGAATTACAGAAAGGAGCTCATCAGATATGCAAAGCAGTGCTTTTCCATTTGTTGTTCCCTGGAGGAAAGTGAAGGTGCTACCATCACCCTCTGGGTGCTGAGGTTCCTTTGATCTATCTTTCTCTCTCCTTGGGGATCAAACTGAACCCAAGGTCTCATGTGTGCCAGGCAAGTGCTCTACTACTGAGCTACATCTCCAGCCCTCTATTTTATTTTGAGAGAGATTCTTGCTAAGTTACTGGGCTGGCCTTGTACTTCCAATTCTTCTGCCTCCGAAGAAACTTGGATTCCGGTCAAATGCTTTCACTTGGGTATAAGAATTTTAAAACACTCTTTACGTAGTATTGGGATTGTAGACAGGTAAAGGATCTGAGGGGAGCTTTTGTTTAGTGCAGGCCTGCACAGCTGAACAGGTGGTATTATTGTCTCTCTTCCCCTTCCTTTCTCTGCTCACAGCTGTCATCTCGGTGCTTTGTGCTAGCAAAGATGGAGACACAAAGATGGGGAAGCTGCAATTTCTTTCCTTCATTTGCTAATAATCTAGAGGGCCCATGTGCAGAGATAAAACCTGTCATGCCCTATTGCCACTCTTACTTTTCAACAATCCTGTGAGATGTAGAACTCACCACTTACGGATTAAAAAAGAAAGGCTCAGACAGTCCTAGGGCTGTGTTGAGACCCTCAAACAGGAAGAGCCAAGGTTGAAAATTAGTACACTGTCATGGCACAGCCTGTGCAATCTGTCTGCCTTACAGAGAGGATGGTTAATGGTTGTCAGTCAAATATTCTTTTGTGGGAAGCCTGGAAAATGTGCAGAATCAGCAAAAGAGACACAGGAGGTGCTTAGATTATTTAAAAAGAGGAGCTACATGTTTTTTCTCTTGAAATTTGTGAATGTAAAAATGGGGTGGGGAGAGACAGGCAGGTAGACATAAAGAAGGAGACAGAGAAACATGGGGACAGAGAGAGAAAGAGAGAGAGAGAGAGAGAGAGAGAGAGAGAGAGAGAGAGAGAGAGAGAGAGAGATTGATTCAACAGTTTAGCAGGGAAAGACCTGGGCTCAAAGATCCTTGATTTTGCAAAGCATAAAATTCTCAGATGATGATTTCAGAGATGGCAGCTGATAACTGATTTTTTTTCCCTCTTGGGAGGATTTGAGCCTGATGTCCTTACTTTTATTGAACGCCCTAAAGGATAATCTTTTCTTTGGACGGGAGGGGAGAAGCCAGCCAAAGTAAGAGGTGGGGCTGGGGCTGCTCCTTTTTCTGGGATGTGTTAGTTGAAAGTTTTGCACCTTCTTTTTTTCTTTTTAGTATTTTTAAAAACTTTATTTAAAAGAGGATAAAAGCAAGGAAAATAAAACAGAATAAAACCAATCAAGATAAACTAGTATAAGTGATACAGGAGTTCAAAACCTTATGAAATCAGCAATAGTTACCATAATGCCTCTTGTTGTCTTCAAAATAGCTGCAGATATCTCCGGGCATAGTAAAAATCAAGCAGAACAGAACAGAATCGAAACAATAAAAACAAAACAGTACAATGCAGGACTGCAGAACAGGCCAATAGTAAATCCAAAATGACTACCATAATATGTCTTGCTATCTTGCCTGCTCATGCATTGGATTTAACATAATCAAACAAAACAAAAGAGAATAAAACCCAACCCAAGAAAACAATGGAAAATGATATGCTTTCCAGGAGGGGATCACTTCCTGGTGAGACCTGGTGTTCTCTCCTTGCAGTGTGCAAATGGCGATGACTCACAAGAGAGGCTTGGGTGTGGCTGTCCCCACTCTGGCAGTGGCCTGCACATGGCATTGGTTTTCAGGCAGGATCACCTCCTGGTGAGGCCCGGTTCTCATCCCTTGCAGTCTATGAATGGCACTGACTCCACCTTCTTTGTGACAGTTCCATTCAAGGCCATATAAAGCACCTAAGCAAAGTCTGAAGTGACAATTTTTTTTCCCAAAGGCAAATTGCTTTTTAGAAAATTATGAAAGCAATACATGTTCACTGAAAGAAGAAAAGGCAGACAAAAATGTAAAAGAAGGTGAGATCATTGATCACTCCATCACCCATATAACCTGTACATACACACCCACACATGTCATATCACAAAGATGAGCTCACACTTCATATTTATGTTATTTGATGAGCCAACGCTCATTGGTTGTAGAATAAAATACGACATAGTCTAGTTCAATTTAGACCAGTCCTTCCTCCATAAAAAACTGGCATTTTTCCTGAGGTTTTTGCAGTTTTGCTGGTTTCTTCCCTTTTTGTATTCTTATTGTTGTGGTCTTTCTTCTGTTCCACGAACATGAAATAGCACAGTGTCTTTCCAGACCTTCCTGTTTCTTCCCCACCTTTTAAAAATCTTTCTGTTTATGCTAGCCAGAATCAATTCATCTTCCTTGCAAATGGGAGAAACTTAATGAATGCAATATTATATTCATTAGTTCATAACCCATAACCTTTTCTCACTTAGCATGTCAGGGCCATTTCCCATGTCCACATAGTCATAGGGTTCGTATGTGCTGGCTGTGTGCAGTCCACAGTGTGAGGGTATTGCATTTATAAAGCTAAAAACACTTTTCAGCTTTCAGTGCTGAAACCGTTGTCTAGTAGGCTCTTTTAGAGGCTCTTTTTTAGAGGCTCTTTTTTGTTCTTTTTAAGATAGTGCTGCAGTAAATAGTACAACATATACACTTCTGTATTTATTATTCCTCAAGATGGACTTCTAGAAATGAAATTCATAAAGTTTCGTATAATTTCCATTTTGTATATTATCAGATTTCTTCTAAGGAAATTTGTACCAATTTACACTGCCAAAAAGAGTCTGGACACCCAACATGGGTATTATAAATCTTTCCATTGATTACCAATCTCATAGGAGATAACTTAAAAAATAATAATGTATGTTTTATTTTGTCAGCAATAGACTCCTACAGAACTGTCTAGGAGGCCATCAACTAAATGAAAGAAAAACTCCAAATCCATTGCTTATTTGAGTCAATATATAAAATAGAACATATGTGTATATGTAAAATCAAAATACATTAGACACATCCAAAACCTTTGTTCACCCTCTCTCACGTTGGAGGTAGCTGCAGTATTTCATGTTGGATTTACAGCTTTTTTGTGTCATAATCATGGAAGTATAGTATTATTACTTGTTATAAAATTATATGCTATATTGTGTGACTTTACTTTTTTCATTCAACATTATGCTTTTGAAATTTATTCATGTTGATAGGTGAAGCTCTAGTTGGTTCAC